TCAATACGGCCGTATTGATTTCAGTACGGCCGTATTGAAGTTTCAGAAACTTCAATACGCCGTATTGAGTTCACTGCGGCCATATTGAAGCTTCAATACGGCCGTATTAAGTTCAGTACGGCCGTATTGGGCTTCATTCCCTCCACTTCCTTATTTTGAGCTATTCTAAGACCTCTAGACCTACAGAGAACCCTCCTAGGGCCTTCCAGGAGTCCTTCTGGCTGATCTTCCTTCAGTCTTCGAGAGTCTTCAAGCTTTATTTCCGACCCGGACAATTTTAGGGGTCTACAATCAAGAGGTTCTTCATGGTGGACATCATGAACAACAAAAACATAAAAATAAGCATGAGAGACAATAGTATATGATATAAATAGAAAATGCATCCTAAGAGGAGTTCCACTAAAAATGCTAAAAAGATTGTCTAAACTAAAAGAACTAGACTCTCTAATGCTAAAGGTAGGAAACTCCCCATGGTGAAGTCTAGGTGTATAATTAAAGCCTAAAAAGGTAAAAAGACTAAAACTGTAGCACACTAAAGCATTAGTCCTAAGAACTAAAATATCTTGTTGGAGGTACCCAATGTATTGACCTAGGTACATCTTTGAAAATAAAGAAAACTTAACTAAAAATATACCTAAACAACTTTGTATTGCATTATTTATTAGATACATATGAGAAAATGGTGTTAAGAGGAGTCTATAAGACTCATATTATCTAAGTTTGTCTTGTAGGGGAATAGTCAAGTTAAGTTCAAATAAGTTAGAACTTCCCTCAAGATCAAACATAGAAAATACGACACCATGAGATGTATCCAACAAACATACAAACCAAAAGTTGGGTGCTTTATGAAGACAACTAAAGTAGAAAGAGTCTTAAATAAAGAAGACTTATCTACCTTGGGCACCACCAAGGAAGTAGCACAAGAAGTAGGACTAAGTGAAGTCCACTTCTTCTTCACTAATTCTTGAAGTTGAGATTTTTTTTCTTTAAAAAGGACTTGTTTTTAAACCTCCACTTCATGACTAGTGGCAACATGAGAGAAAGAGTTAAGGTCTTGATGAATGAAGAGTCTTTTTTAAATCATTTTTAATGGTAAAGTGACTCTCTTTAAACATAAGCCCTTTGGAAGAAATATTATCCTCCTTACTCTTCGTTAAGAGTGTTGGTTTTTGTTTTTCTTTTTCTAACCACTCTTTAACCCTCTCTATACTTTTCTTATTTTTTTCTTTCTTTATCATTTGTATTTTATTTTCTTTTTCTTTTTTTCTAAGTTCTTCCTCTCAATTTTCTATTCTGGTAATGGATTACAAGGACTGGTAATGGATTACCAGAACATATTTTTTATTGTTTCAAAAACTTTTATGTAGAAAACTTCATCTCAATAATTTCTTTCACGAATCTCTTTTAAGAAATGATTTTAACTATTCTTTAAAGCTTTTGTTAAGTCTTTTGAAAACTTTTTTACTTACTTTCAAAAGATTTAAAACTTTTTTAAATTTAAAGAGATTAATTTGAGATTTTTGAAAACTTATTCTCAAGGCCAAGCATACTTGCAATTTCAAAAGATTCTTTTACATACTTAGCTAAGTTGACAAGACTTATCTATGTACCACTTGAGATCTTGTTCTTGCATTAACATGCTTTAGCTCAACCTTGATTCTTCTTCAACGCTTTAGAATCACTTTGGCATCATCAAAACATTTGTGCATATTTTCTTCCACAGATACAACTGTTGTTGTATTCCTATGAGTTTCAAATCTAGATGGGAGTTGAGTCCATATTTTTTCTTGTCTTAAATATTGAGAAGCATGTCGATTACACTATCACATGTATTTTTCTGAACATGTATGACATTAATGCAATGTCTAACATCAAGAACTTTCTAATGTGAAAGATCAAATAATATCGACCTCTTCTTCCATATGTTTTTTTTTCTTTTGGTTGTTTTTTCGTCTTTCCAAGTACCACACTTAAATTCCCAACCCATTCATAAACTTCCTCACTAGTTAATGCAGTAGGAGCAATGTCATATTCTTGACATCCATTAAAATGTTTCTTTAACCTTGGATATGGTCGGTTAGGTTTAAGAAATCTTTGATGGCCAAGGTAAACTATCTTATTTCAATTATGTAGTTGATGTTAACAAGTGCCTTCTTCACATATAAGGAAAGCTTTATGGGCCTTAACATTGTACCTGCACTGGTTTCCATATACTGGAAAGTCATTGATTGTGCAAAATAACATGTCACGCAACCTTAATGATTCACCTAAATACCCTTCACGCGACCTGAGTGATTCACCTAAATACTTATCAAACACATCAGTTCCCCCCTCCCCTTTAGGTCTTTAACTAATCGACTTAAATAGACATCAATATTGTTTCCTGGTTGCCTTGGACCAAGAATCATCATAGATAACATCACATGTTTTCGCTTCATGCATAACCATAGAGGTAAGTTGTAAATTACCAACAAAACTGGCCATGAACTGTGCTTAGTGCTTAAGTTACCAAACGAATTCATTCCATTTGTAGCTAGTCCAAGTTTAACATTTCCTAACTCCTTACTAAAATTCAAAAACATTGAATCAATGTTTTTTCCATTACAAGAAATATGTTGGATGCTTAAGTTGTCCATCATATTTCCTCTCATCTTCATGCCATCTCATCAGCTTTGCATCATCCAAATTAGAAAATAGATGCTTCAATCTTGGAACAATTGGCAAATACCATAAAACCTTCGTTGGAACAATAAGGCAAACATGTTACTATGTTTGTTTATTTAAGTTATATTTTATATGTATTTACTTAGTGAGGTGTCCCTAACCTTACTTACTTACTTAATCTATGATATTTTTTAATCTTAATAATTATTGAGGTGTTCCTAGTTTATGATGTTTAATTATTTTATGATGTTTATAACTGTCATTTAATTGATTAATATTTTTTTAATACATTCCATCACTAGTGGAAAAATAGGATACTACGTCACCCATTTTACGTCGGATATACAAAGAACCGACGTAATAAAAGTGCAGTGGCACGTTTTGTAATTTTCTTAAATTATTTACGTCGGACCTCTAAGGATCCGACGTAAATTTTAACATCTACATCGGCTATTCATTGTGTCCGACGTAGATGTTAAAATTTACGTCGGACCCAATTAGGGTCGACGTAAATAACCCACAGGATGCTTAAAAGAAGGTGTCTTGCGCGTACTAGCTAGTTAAAAAATTTCATGGCTTCCTTCTCCCGCCTCCTCCTCAAATCGTCCACTTTCTTCTATCTATTTTTCTTCCTCATCCCTCCGCCTCCTCCAAAAATTGTGGCTGGTTTTCTTCGCGTGATGATGTTTTTCTTCTTCGGAGGGGTGCGTTTTTCTTCTTCGGAGAGTTGCGTTTTTCTTCTATGAGGTAGTATCTTCTATCAAGTTTGTGTTTTTTGAGATTTTTTTTCGTAATAATGTTTCTGTTGCATTTCGCGCAAGTTTTTGAAGCTGGAGAAGTGACCAAGTCTGGGTTTGGAGACGCAGTCCTGGGTCTATCAAGCAGAACGGGCCGTTCTGCTTGCACTCAAATTCTTTTTTATAAAATTTTTATAACTTTTTTACGTCGGACCTAGGCATGTCCGACGTAAATTTATGTCGGTTTTTGTGCCCTGACGTAAATTTACGTCTCCCGCTTCTACGTTGGATGTTTTTCTGACGTAAAAACCCCTAAAATGACCGACGTAAAATGTGTATTATGTACTAGTGCATTTATGTAAACTATATTATATTAAACTTTAAATAATAAAAAAAATACTCAAACTTATTTAGCTTAATTATTTTTATTAATATTAACTATAATACAGTTTTGTTAAAGTATTCTAA